TGTCCAGGAAAATGGTGTTCCGCAAGGAGGTGTACTGAGTGTCTCCTTGTTTGCCGTAAAGATAAACTCGTTGTCAAAGGTAATTCCACCTTCCGTTTCATACTTCCTCTACGTGGATGATATTCACATCTCGGCCTCTTCTTGTAATTTGTCTAGCTGTGAGCGGCAACTGCAGCTTACCATCAACAGAATTAGTAAGTGGGCTGACGAAAATGGGTTTAAGTTTTCAGCTGAGAAGACTATCTGCGTGCCATTTTCTCTGCGTCGAGGGCTGTTTCTAGATCCAGAACTGACACTAAACAGGGTTCCTATTAGTGTAAAAACGGAGCATACATTTTTGGGCATAACGTTTGATAAAAAGTTAAACTTCGTTTCCCACCTGAAGAACCTGAAGAAGAAGTGCCTTAAATCAACTAATATTCTTAAAGTCTTAGCGCACAAGTCATGGGGATCCGACAGAATATGTCTGCTACGCCTGTACAACTCCCTTATCCGGTCACGTCTGGACTATGGTGCTATAGTTTACGACTCAGCGAGGCCTTCTGCACTTAAAATGTTGGATCCTGTGCATCATCTCGGTTTAAGGCTCGCTACAGGTGCCTTCCGCACATCGCCCATTCCTAGCTTGTACGCTGAATCTAATCAGATGTCACTTAGGCACAGACGACGTTATCTTGCTGTGACTTATGCTTCCAGAATTTTGTCCTATCCAAATCACCCAACTTATGGTGCCTTGCAACATTCTCGGTTTGCTCGTCTTTTCGAACATAAGCCCAGGGTTGTACCGCCTTTAAGTCTTCGCCTTGAGGGCATTTGTACATCTCTTGACCTCACCCTTGACGAGACCGACCTTTTGCAGAAGGGTGAAAATGAAGCTCCGTGGAGTACGTTGCCCGTCTTTTGTAATTGGTATTTTACTAGATTTAATAAACATAACGTCCCCCCTGTGGTGATTCAACAAGAATTTCTTGAGGTGCAGAAGAAGTATGATAAATACTCCCAATTTTATACCGATGGTGCTAAATCATCGCATTTTGTAGGATCAGCAGTTTACTCTGAAGGATTCAGTAAGGTTCAGCGTCTCAAGGAATGTGCAAGTATTTACACGGCAGAGCTCTATGCAGTGTTGATGGCCTTGGAATATATCCTCATCAGCAAGACAATGAAATCTATTTTATTCGTGGACTCTCAAAGTGTGCTCACCACACTTTGCTCAATAAAGGGAAGTAAAAATAGACTGGCACAACTTGTCCGATCTAAGGTACAATGTGGTCTGCGGCTTGGCCGAGACATAAAATTCTGCTGAATGCCTAGCCATGTGGGGATCCTAGGTAATGAAACAGCAGACGAATTGGCCACGAGCTCTAAGCACCTACTGCCAACCACCTCACAGATTCCATTTCAAGACATGAAGCCCTTGGTAAAATCATCAGTTTTCCGGCTATGGCAATCGGAGTGGAGTCTGGAATGCGAAAACAAACTTCACAGGATTAAACCAGCTCTTGGTATATGGGAGAGTGCATCCCACAAAACCCGCCGCCTTGAAGTTCTTTTGTGTCGTCTTAGAATTGGACATTCCTTCCTCACCCACAAACATCTGCTCAGGGGGGAAGCCCCACCCCTGTGTGATGAATGTGGGGAGCGTTTGACAATTTTACACATTTTGTGGCTGTGCCCAGGGCTTGAGCAAGAACGACGTACACATTTCGCCGAGTTTTTTTCCCACCAGATTCCTTTTCACCCAGCGCTGCTAATTGGCGAGACTCCTATAGTACCATTTGATCGTATCATAAATTACTTAAGAAAAACCGGCTTCCTACTAGAGTTGTAATGTTAACTCTATGAATTTTAACCTTGTCATATGAACCTCTTTTCGATAATTCATATAAAAAAGACCTGAGTATGTCCCAACTAAACAAGCTTGGCGCAGTATGGCCATAGTAGCTTTGCGCCATAAAGCCTGTAATCAATCAACAAAGATTTGAAGCACCTCCACTAGCGCTATGCATCGTTAGGGGTAACTTCCGTGGCAGCCTCTCTAATTACTGAATGACCGTATTTGAAGAGATATTTTTTTTTCGTTTTCATCACATTTGGCTTACACATTCCATTGGGCCTTATTTTAGTAGAACAACACGGAACAAAAGTCGCTTGCAAACGTCTTAAAATTGCCATAATCGCAGCTTCTTTTATGCTCAAGCATTACCGACTCTCTGCAAAGGAATGTGTTTGTGAACAGGAAATGCTGTAAAAGACTGATTTAGTCGTGAAAACTTTGACCTTGTTTTGAAGAAAAAGCATTGTCTGTCACTTTAGTGCGGCTTGGGTTAGGCCATTAATCCTGAGTGCCGGAATTTATTTCCAGCATGCTGAATGCAAGTATTTGTCTCAGTTTGTGACATGTTTTTTTGAAAAATGCTTACTCATCAAAGACACACTATTTTATGAGAAAAAAGTTAATTGACTGCATGCCTCCAACGTATGACATATTTCTCGAAAGTGTACTTTTCAAGATACGGTACTACAGTAGAACCTCATTGATACGTTTTTCAGGGGACCAAGGAAATAAAACATACAATCCGGGAAAACGTGAGGAACGAAAGTGCTATTTGGGGGGCGTTAGAGATGAGACAGATAGCAACTGTCGCAAAACAATGTACTTAATGCAACATTCGTAGGTGTGAACTCAATTTGGGTCAGAAAAAGTTAGTGAGCATTCGTTGGTGTAAACTGAAATTTGTAAACTGTAAAAAAGTTTGTAGGTGTGGTCTCAAATACGTTTAGAAAAAGTTTGTAAACATACGTCAGTGTGAACTCAAATGCGTTCAGAAAAAGATAGTAATATTCACCTGGCACTTCGTGCGAACGAAATGCGGGCAAGCAGCGGAGTCCTGGGCTTGTGGAAGTGCGTTTGCCCATTTCCTCGTTGGTTCGTCCCGTGCAATTAGGGATTATTCAGTGCACCAAAGCCACCGCAAAAAGGTCTTGCTGAATGACAAGCTTTAGTGCACGTGCAGGAGAGCTCGCAGCGTGCTATACAAGTTTTGACAGAAGCTTCTTTTCACGGACCCGGAGGAGTAGCAGAACCTGCAGTGCGTCGGCCAGTCGAAGTTCTTGCAGCTTGTCTCACTTCTGGTACTGCAAACCACACAACAACACGGACCAGCAAATAGACAAAAAAGAACAATGATGTACCATCGTCATGTTGCTTTGTTAAAAAAAAAAAAAAAAATTGATTGCCAAATTAATAGTGTTTGAAATAAAAAAATCCGCAAGTGAAAAGGCGCTCGGCTTTTTCGGTCTTAGCTTTTTACATATTTTTAGTGGGGGTTGACTTGAAAAGTGTTTTGTCTTGCAACAATGCTTTTTTTGACGAGCAAAACAAAGATAATGCATTGTTTTGTTTTGTCTGTTTGCTGGAATGTTTTGTCACGTGATCTTTAGTTCTACGCATGAAGAAAACTGCAGAAACTTTCACAGGTGACACACTGCAGGTTCCGGTATTCCTTTACGTCCGTATCGAGACTCATCTAGCATGCCGCACTTTGTCCTGTGCATCCATTCAGCTTTTCATGCGGCAAGACCAAGACCCACGAGGCTGGGCAAGGCCTTTTTGCACCTGTGGTGTATGGAAGTGTAGTGCGCGGGTACATCGGGACGAGAACATGGGCAAACGCCCCTTTGCAAGCCGAGGATTCCATTGCTTCTACTCGGACCCTCCTCAAACAGGACCACACTTGTGTTATTCCTTGGGTTAGTAAAGGAAGTGGCGCTTCACGCTAAGCCTCTCCGGTGTTTTGCCTCACGCAGCACCCAACAGCAGCACGCAACAATTATTTTTCCTATTAATGCGATGGTGCCTTCACCGTAGTGACAAACGTTGCATAGCTCTTGGACGACAGTGCCACTGTGCAGTGGTTTGGTCGATCCTCGCTGTCCCTCGTCTCTCCCTCCGTGTGAAAGCGGTTGGGGGGCGGTTGATCTGCGGATGTGTCGTCACGTAATCGATCCATCCCCGAATCGCTCAGTTGTGCGAATTGACTGGTGCCTTTGGTGCTGTGTCAGTGGCTTTTTGGACGTAAGAACATGGAAAGTGAACATACTAAGCAGGAAATTAATACATGTGTTCCTTAGGGAGGTCAGCGGGACCGACGCTTCTGAACGTAAAAGCCGGGAAAACTCACAAAACCAGGAATGTATCAACAAGGTTCTACTGTATGTAGTGGCAGCTCAACCTCAGACCCTAAGGCCACTCTTCTGAAAGGCCTTACTTGGCCTTTGTTTGTTTGGAACTGTAACCTCTTGCTTTTGCAGTCATCAAATATCGAGTTCATTAGTTATTTCTAGATCTCGGCATTCACCATAAAGCGCAAGGTTGAATGACATAGATTTTCCATTCTGTGACAACGAAGGAGCTCACTAAAACTGAAACCATCTAAACAAACAAAACAAAAATATGTGGCATCAAAAAGTGACATTACAAGATAACACACTGTTTTGATCGCTTGCTCGCTCACACATGCCGTTACACGATAAAAAAAAAAAGTAGAAATTACTGCCCTGTTAAAAGGTGCAGGGAGCAAACCAAATCTGAAGCCACACGGGAATGCACCCAAGTGTATTCAGGCATGGCCCTCAAAGGGTTAGAAGTCATTAGAAGCACATAATAAGAGTAGTACGAAAGACCCATACTTGTGAGGCAGTCAGTAGCCGGACAGGGCCTCGGTGGTCGGCCATTTATTTGTTTAACAGAAATGCTTCTTATCCCACTTTGGGCTTCCCTGCTGCTTGGGGTGAGTGAGAGGGAAGATGCATTGAAAAGTATCCGGAGCATGCATAGCTTGCATGCCTTAGGAATTTTTTTGGGAATGTCCGTTGGCTCTTCAGCACCACCCCTTGACACAATATAGTTGCTGGCCATCGTGCCTGCAGATGAGAAAGGAGTAAAACGCATCAAAAGGTCTTCATTGTTAAAGTATGCATATCTGACTTTGTTACAGGATGTGCGGTGCTTTCAGTAACTGCGGTAGTCATGGACAACTATTGCCGGGACCGGAAGGCTTGTACCCGTGCACCCCTCGCAGCGGTGAATTATTTGCAGATTTTGTTCATCGTTGAGGCATTGGTCGCGCTGCCATTCCTGGCCAAGTACCTCGGTGAGTTTGTTCAGCACTTATATGAATAACGTTGTTTGCAGTTTTGTTATACACTCTATCTCACAACTTGCGTTAATGCTATAGGAGAAGCAGATATCAGAATCGATTCCTACTTGTTGACTTAAGATACCAGCCGAGATGTCTACGGATCAGGAAAGGTTTATTGTACTGTAAACATTGTGTAATGGAGATTTTGGTTGAATGTCAAAGAAATGAGTAAGAGGCATTGATCCGCACGTGGAATGTTCAGTTAGTTCAAAGTTAGTTATGGCTTGAAAGTCATGGTCAAATGGTATTGAATAACAGGCTGAAGTTGAGCTAGTTGGTACATAATTTAGGTAAATGGTCAGCTAGAACGAGAGGGACAAACACAGACAGGGAGAAACATACACACAGCGGTGTGTATGTCTCTGTTTCTCCCTGTCTGTGTTTGTCCCTCTCGTTCTAGCTGACCATTTACCCAAATGGTATTGTATTTTTCAGAGTTCACATAGCTAGCACACTTCATGTTGGTTGGTCTGACTGAAGCTGAAATTATAGCAAAGTTTCACTCCTCTTTTTTAAACATGTGCATACTAAAATGTTTTTGTTTAATCGTCTTCACTAACTTGCATGTTTTAATGCAGAAACCAATATATAGTACTATTGTTATAAAAGATGACTGCCCTCAAAGCTAGAATTATTACAAATAAATAATAGTATCAGTTTAAGGTCTATTCACATAGTGCATTTTGTCAACGTGCAACGGTTTCATGAAATTAAGATTTCACTTAGTCAGCTAATTTACATGTTCAGTTTAATGTGCAACAACTGTAGGAGCCCACAACACAGAGCTTGAGCAGCGAGCTCTGACGCTCGCGGGTCAGTTGCGGGTTACGCGAAAACAGATATAAACGTGCGGCCAGTTCCTGCCAGCAGTGTTTGGTTGTTTTTTTCTCCACAAATGGTGACTTGACATCTGAACACCCCCCATTATCCTCTCTAGCGGTCTCAACGAACATGGACCAGGGCAATGCTCACGCTGGCGGTGGTACGCCTCCTCAGACCTCGAACGCCAACCTCGCAACCATCAGCTTCTGCCTTCCGCCTTTTTGGCGAAAGAAATCGCGAGTTTGGTTCACCTAAATCGAGGCGCAGTTCTACCTTCGGCTGTCCCGATTCTACCACGTCATTGCCTCCCTGCTGCCAAACGTGGCCGACGAAATCGATGACGTGCTGTTGCAGCCACCCCGTGAAGACTCCTTGAGTGAACAACGGCATCCGAGTGGTCACAAATCCAACAGCTACTGACAGCCCAGGAACTAGAAGACCTCCGCCCCTCACAACTTCTTTGCCAAATGCAACAATTGCTGGGCCCCCAAGCCACCGACCCCCAAAACCGTTTCCTGCTGGAGCTTTTTTTTTTTTTTTTTTAAAAACTTCCACAAGGAATGCGCAGGTTTCTAGCAGCCGCTGACGACGTGCTGCTAGGTCGCCTTGCTATGCTGGCAGATTGCACCGCCGAATATTCTGCACCATCTATTGCTGCTGTGGCGCCTCACGAGCCCCCGCCCTGGCAAGCAGCGATCGCAGAGATCAAGGCAAGCATAGCACAGCTTTCCTGTGCTGTTGCCACCATGAGGACGTCAGACGAGAAACTGTCTCAACAAACGAGGTGGGGCTTGCCTCACGCCCATTCACCCGCACGACAAGCCTCACGGTGAAGCAACGGAGCCCTATTCTAGTACCACCGGCGCTTTGCAGAATGTGCCACGCACTACCAACAACCATGCTCCTGGTCGGAAAACACCGAGGCCTAGCAGCGGAGAGTGACAATGGCCAACAGACAGTTGTTTTATAATGTTGTTATAATGTCTTAGTGGACACCGCGGTTGAGTTGAGCGTCTTGCCCGCGTTTGATTTGACCGTCAGCAAGCTCAACATACCGCACCCCTATGAGCTCTCAGCAGCTCGGCCATTGCCAGCTTTGGCCAGCAATCTTTATCCATCGACATAGGACTAAAGGTGCATTCACACCGGTGATGTCAAGGAGTCGCGCGATGCGACTAGATTGCATCTTGGAAAGGTTAGATGGTCACACTGGCGTGCGCGATGAGCGAGTCCAACGCCTTCGTTGGCGAGTCGCTTCTTGAAAACTCTCACTCCGAACGCCATTGATTGGCTCAGCCGCTCCGCGGCTAGATCGCATCGCAATAAAGTCGGGTCAGCAAGCGACTATTCAAATCACGTCGCTTTTTTTCCCGCGATGGTCGCTTTTGCGATGAAAGTTATTGCACGACTAGTTTGCATCGCCGGCGTGAACATGCCTTAAGGCAACATTTCCGGTGGGTCTTCATTGTCGCGGACCTTCGTCAGATCATACTGGGAGCAGATTTCCTGGCACGCTGTGGCCTCTCTGTCGACATCCATGCCAGAAGCCTCACCAATGCGACCACATCCTTGACCATACAGGGTATCTTGTCGTCAATCACGGCTTCTCCAATGCATTCCCTGGTGGCGTCCTTGAAGTATAAAGCCCTCCTCACAGAGTACCCATAATCCGACCCTGCAATGCTGAGGTGCCAATCGAGCATGGTGTAACACACCAAATCATCACCAATGCCCCGCCCATCTCCGCGTGTCCTCACTGCCTCTTTGGCGAGCGAGTAAACCTTGCGCATCGAGAGTTCGAACACATGTTGGAGCTTGGTATCAAACGCCCGTCTTCCAGCAACTGGGGGTCACCGCTACATATGGTCCCAAAAAAGGACCCGAATGACAGGAGATCTTGCAAAGATTATTGGACGTTGAATGTATGCACGGTACCTGACCAGTATCCTTTGCCGCACATTCACGATTTCTCTGCTGGTTTGACTGGCACCAATATCTACAGCAAAGTAGACCTAATGAAGACCTACCACCAGATTCCTGTAGAACCGGCAGATGTGGCCAAGATGCCCTTCGGCCTGCGAAACTTTGTGCAGGCTTTCCCTCAATGAAGTCACAAGAGGACTTCAATTCGTTTTCGGTTACGTTTACGACATCCTCGTGGCCAGCTCATCTCCAGAAGAACACGAAAAACACCTACGGCTTTTGTTCGACCGGCTGCAGCAGTACGGCCTTGTCGTCAATGTGAAAAAGTGCTTGTTTGGAGTGGACGCCTTGGACTTTCTTAGACACCGCAAAACTTCAATGGGCATCTTACCACTCTAAGAAAAAGTCATAGCAATTCGCAAGTTTCCTCAACCAACGTCCCTTCGAAAGCTTCGTAAGTTTCTTGGCTTGATAAACTTCCATTGAGATTTATCCTGCATTGTGCTGAAATACTGCAACCCATGACGGATCTGCTCAAAACCAGGAAAAGGCCACCATCATCAACAGTCCCATGGAACGCAGAAGCTGCATCAGCTTTTTCCACCGTGAAAGAGGCCTTGGCCAAATGCAGCCCTGCTTTTCTATCTGCAACCTGAGGCCCCCACCCGTCTCATGACTGATGCCTCCAGCACCGCTGCCGGAGCTGCCTTGCAAAAGATGCTCGACAGCGAGTGGCGAACACTTAGTTTTTTTTTTTTGTCAGAAACTGAAGCCCGCAGAAACACATAGTACATTTGGACGTGAACTTCTTGTCGTATACCTGGCCGTTAAACATTTCAGGTACATCCTTGAGGGTCACAAGTTTCATATACGGAAAGACCACAAGCCTCTAACATATGCTTTCCACGGCAACCACACCACCTTCTGCTCCCGAGAGATACGACAACTAACCTTTATTTCGGAGTTCACTGTGGATTTCTGCGATGTAAAAGGCGAAGACGGTTCAGCAGCAGACGCGCTCTCCCGTGTTGATGCTGTCTTGGCCAGTCCTGGAGGTGTCGACTCTGACAGCATTGCTATGGTGCTAGAGGCTGATCCGGAGCTACTTGCCCATCCTGACGGGCTGAAGTCCTTGGTATCGAGGGCAGTTCTTCTTCCTCTCTTACTCATTCTACCGGTACCATCCTCTGCGGCATGTCTATCAGCAGTCCTCAAACCTTTGTTTTGCTAGCCCTTCGTCGGAAAGTCTTCGATCATCTGCACAACCTAAGCCCTCCGGGCATCCGAGTCACACAGTGACTGGTAGCAGCTTGCTATGTGTGGCCTACCATTAATGTGGATGTATGTAGCTGGACAAGGGGTTGCCTACAATTCCAACAGTCAAAGGTCAGCAAGCACACCGTAACACTTCTAACTTCCTTCCGTATACGCAATGCATGCTTTGACCATGTCCATCTCGACATTGGGGGTCCTTTGCCACCATGTCGGGGTTTCAACTATATTCTGACCTGCATTGACTGCTACACCAGGTGGCCTGAGGCCAGTCCCTTCCTGACATCATAGCGGAGACAGTTGCCAGGACTTTTGTAGAAGTTTCGGTAGCTCGTTTCGGTTGCCCTTCAATTGTCACTATGGACCAGGGATGCCAGTTCAATGTTCACTGTTTGCTGCCCTAGCAAAACTTTTCGGAACACATCATGTGCATACAACCTCTTGCCACCCGTCGGCAAATGGCATGGTAGAAAGCTTGCACCGGCGGCTGAAAGCATCGGTCGTGTCATGAGACAGGCAAGTTCAATGGGTCGACCTTCTCCCGTTCATCCTCTTCGGCATTAGATCAGTTTTGAAAACAGACCTGAAATGCACCCCAGCAGAATTGGTGTATAGATCGCCGCTCCGACTCCCTGGAGAATTTTTTTGACGCATCCAAGGATATTCTGCCACAACCACAGTATTTGGACGACTTATGACGGTTCATCCAAGAGCTCCATACTACGCCTCCTTGGTTTTCAAGTTCTCGCAAGGTATTTTTAAGCCAAGAACTTACAACTTGTGCCCACACATATTTCCGCAAAGACATCAAGAAGAGCCTTGTTCCACCATACGACAGCCTGTTTAAAATCCTCAATAGAACCGACAAAACCATCACTTTTGACTGGCACGGACATCCAGACTCTATTGCCATGGACTGCATAAAACCTGCTTTCAACGACTTGGCACCAAGTTTCACATCCACCAACTAAATGTTCGCACTCCAGAAAACCAGTGCATCCTCTAGCACGAAACAAATCTGTTGGGCAACATGATATGTTATGTCTATATCACATCTGCTAGTTTTGTTGTCGCTGTTCTTTTTGTGTTGCCAGCATTGGGTGTAGCACTTCTTTCCGTTTCACCACCATTTATGTTACCAGGGGCCCCACAACAAAGGTCGCTACACGAAGCTCGAGCAGCGTGCCCAGGCCCGCAGGTCAGTCGAGGGTCATGCGAAAACAGATACTGTATTTACTCGCATAATAACTGCACTCGCATGATAAACGCACCCCCCACAATATATATCAATATTTTGACTTTTCTCACCCTCCTGTAATCAACAACCTCCAATTTTCGAATTCGCGAGTCTCGAATTCTGTCCAATTTAGCAAGCCGCCAAGCCAGTTTTCTTTTGCCGCCAAGCAGTCAGGCCAAGTCAAGCCAAGCCAAGCCACTCTCGTAATGGCTGCAAGTGCGTAGTTGGGGTAGTTAAAGAAGCGATCAACCGTGAAACCGAGTGTCGCGCACACTTGACCAAGCTTGGGTCGAGGAATTGCCGAGCCTCGGACGTTCTTCCCCTATGAGATGCATTGATGCCAACAAGCAAGCCGTCGTCTGTGGTCCGGTTTCAGACAGTGAAACCGTGAAAGTGGTTTGGCCTAATTTCGCATACCCTTGATAAATGCGTTCATTTAATCCGTAAAAACAGCACAGCGTGCTGCGCTGTAGGCTGAGAGTGTCATAGCAGCTTCTCCGTAAACAAAACTTGATCCATGCGAGCCGGCTTCGGGGTCGCGGCATTGGACTGTGTACGAGTGTTTGCCATTATGAACGAAACTTTATCTATGCAGGGTGTGACATCTGCGCCAATTGCGCCATTTCGATACAAACCCAATTTTCTGCGCCTAATTGCGCCAGAAACGTTGGATCGGTCGAAATTGCACCACACTGCACCAAAGTAACTCAAAAAAAAAAAAAAAAAATGTTTGCTGCGACGTTAGATTTAGCGGGAAACGAGAGCTTGGTAGGCAACATTCAATCTCGTCGTAGTAAAGTACACGGCACGGGTACAGAGTGGCGCAAGCAACCGCCGGATACGAAGGTTTCAGCTGTAAAAATATTCCAAAAGCCGGGAATCATAATGATAAAAAAAACTGCTCCGACTTTACTCAACAAGATTAACAATTTAATCAAACGTTTCGTCTCCCATGCAGGAAACATCGTCAGTGAAACCTACAAGCAGGAATGAGAGAAAAAACTTCACTGACGATGTTTCCTGCATGGGAGACGAAACGTTTGATTAAATTGTTAATCTTGTTGAGTAAAATCGGAGCAGTTTTTTTTTTTATTGTTTTAGCTGTAGTACCCTTCTATACATATGATATGTGTATTGTCCCGATTTTCCTACTACTTTCCGCTGTGATTTGTGGCTGCATGCTACCGGTGTACTGTCACACGGTCTCGCTGTCTGGCCGCGGAGGTACGACGCACAGGCTATCAAGATGAGCAAACCTAAGTATCTGTTTCGTTTTGAGAGTAAACCTTTTCTTAAAAGTGCTATTGAGCACCTCCATTGTGTAATTGTTCATTCATGTCCGTTATCTCGTCAAAATGAACGGCGCTGTCGCCGTGAATACTTTCGGTTATCACACACATGCTTCCAGTGCGTGAGCAATCGAATGGATCAGTTACACACCCGTATTTAGCGTGCATGTGGTGCTCATAGTTTTTCTACCAATTCACTATTTACCTTGTGACTCATTTTTGTGGGAAGTTTTTTTTTTTTTTCTATCTGCACGTGCTTTCTACGAGCGTGCATCGATGTCTGGTTGTAGTAAACCGTGTTTCCCTCTTCATGCTCTCGAATCACCGCTTTAAAAAGTTTTGCACTTCAATTGCAATTGAGCACCAGTTCGTGTAAGCTTGAGGTACCGGGTGCCCACCTAACTTTGCAGCAAGCCTGTGTTTCCTGTCCTCATCTATGGCACGAAACTCGCGTTTGCCTTTTCCGTTCTTTTTTTTTCTTTTATATTTTATCTCGGTGCGTGTCGGCGCTGATGACTTATTAGAACCAGTGTAAACAAAAATAATGATTAAAAAAAAAAAATCTGATTTATGCGATTTATATTACATTTGTTATGATTTAAATTGCTAATAAGCTGCTCTAACATTTTCTGCTCCTACTCTGCTCCAAACTGTAGACTTTTGTGCTTCGAAGCTGCTCCATAATGCATAAACTGCTGCTCCAAAACAAGAATCTTGTGCTCCTAAGCTGCTCCAAAATCCAGATTTTTCTGCTCCAAATATTGCCCCAAACCTGTTTTACCTGTCTCACCCCTGTCTATGCAAGCGGGCTTTTGGGGTTGGGGGTTGGACTTCCTACAAGTTCTTATATGCATAGTCGTGGATATACCTGAGCGTGCCCACCGGATACTAGCAATATATATCGCCTAAGAACGGTCCTGTTGCTTTTCCTTTGGCGAAAGGCACCCCAAAAGTGCCCTAAAAAGGTTTGCAGTTTATAATGCATGGTTATTGTGGCACGCCTCGACCATCCGTGGGTGCGCCTCCATCATTGGAGACGTGCCACAGTACCTTGTCGTGTCATATTGGCACCTAATATGACATTTGCACGAAGTGTGTAAATGCAAAAATTTTACCCCGTGTACTGAATGCCCCCTCCCAAATAATTTTTAGGGACAAAAAGTGTGTCCATTATGCGAGTAAATATGGTATGGACGTGCGGCCAGTCCGTGCCAGAGCACCAAAGGATTCGGTCACTCTTTTCTCCACAACAACAGTTGCATATTGACTAATGAGGGTTTTCCCAAACCCTGTCGTCTGCATTTGGAATAAAGTTTTTTTCAGCATGGGATGGGAAATATTTACATTAGAGGCGGTCTGCTTTATTAATGTTGCGCGATAAACTTTGTCAGCAAAGATTTGACTCACTCGGTTTACGGCGCCTAGTCCGAACCAGAAAAAGACCACGACCGTTGAAGAACAGTTGGATGATCTCGAAATGTTCTAGAAATTTTTGCACTGCTACAAGATCAGTCATGCTCAGTCCACATGTTTACCATAGAGTACCGCACATCTGCCCATTCCGCATTAAGTGCCCATTACCAAATTTGTAAGATCTGAGTTTGCGATTATCTCCAAAGATTGAGTGGGTGCTTTCCTGCTATTTTACGGTATGTGCAGTGTGTTCTGCCCTCGCTGCAACTGTTGATGAATCAGCACCGCACAGCCGACTCGTATGCACTGCTCTTCCACTTGTCACTTACCGCCATGTTTGTTTTCTTTTTCCGGCTTTGCCGAAAAGCAGAAAGCTTGTGCCGCCTCAGAGGTCAAATTTCACAGGGATGTCGAGCAGCCATTGGCAGCATCCACATTTCTCCTCCGGGTGACCTACTGGTCTCAGTGAAATTTCGAAAACGTTCAGATGGCGCATCTATTTCGCAAAAATTAGTTTGGTGGAACAGATGTGCCGTCAGAACTTTCTTTGAATGTGCCAAAAAGATGCAATGTGTGAATTCACCTTTAGAGGGCATAATAAATGTTTATAACAAAAGTGACACATCACGGAAAGGCCAGGACACTTTTCAAAGCTGGTAATAAGAGTGTTATCTTCAGCTCCCTGGCAGGGTGTTAGCAAGTCAGCTGCTGCTGAGGCTACGTGGGGCAAGTCTAGTCACTTCTGTTCAGCTCATGCTTTTCTGCTGCTATCTGAGCTGACAAATGGGGCTGCTTCTGGATGTCTGTGCAAAAAGAAATCAATTGTCCGGGCTCGTGCGGCTCAAACTTCTTGTGACACTGAAGTGACGTTGCTTCCGTTGTCTTGGCTGATTACCAATGTTGTTGCTCTTGGGCCTGTAGTTTTGCCGTGAATATCTGAATTCAGAGTTGGAGACCAAATACCTCCTGAACTATAGAGGTGTTGACTGTGCCGTTTTTACGTTATCTAAAAAAAAAAACACCGCGAAGAGGTGCTGATGTCATCATGACCCGCAACTTAACATGATGCAGGGTTTAGCAGGACACAATTGAAAGCAAACGGACAATGTCGAACTGATTGAGTGAAGCACGACAGCTGCAGTAAGCCTAACCACTTGAGCAATCACTCACATTGAATGCTTCAGTAACGATACTGAAGCTAAACATATAAAATAGCGCAAAAAAGACAAGAACAAGGAGTATACAGGACAAGCGCTATATAGTGCTTGTCCTGTGTTTTTTGCGCTATTTTATATGTTTAACTAAGATGAACCAACTAGCCCAACAACATACCCTACGATACTGAAGCTGGATTCTTATTTTGTTCCATAAGGGCTACTTCGACGCTCGGGTAGGTAAAATATGTAAAAAGTAGAAAACTCGTTGTGAAAATCAGTTTTTGCAAACAATTGTGTGAAGCGCACACCGACACATTGATAGAGAGGTTTGTTCTTAAAGTCTTCATGTTATGAAAACAAGTTGAAGTAATTGGCCGGTGGAGTGTTGTGTGAATCCCTTTGAAGTTCATGCGTCACTCACTTCTTTGGCACTGTTGAAGCACAGAAATACCCGCACTGCACTGGCTTACGACTGTGCTTTGATGGTTTGTTTAGCCATTGGATGACACCACTGACTAATTGCATGTGCTGTGGGCGGGTGGGGAGGGAAGCTTTGGGTGTATCCGGTCTCTGTTTCTTTGATGCTGGCCAGAGACAGTACATGTTCTGCAGGAGAACAATCTGGAAGCTATGTTTGTGACCCTGTTCCACATCTGTTGCCCAGGAATGACCATCAGCTTCCACAAGAACAAGTGCAGGCCCGACATCCAGCATGACGAGCTGTTGCTCAGTTACATACAGTCCCAGTCGTCGGGCGGGGAGCTTGGTTTTAGGTATGTCCAAATTTAGACGTTGCCTTGCTTCGTATAGAATCCCACCGGGTTTCCTAACAAATGAGTGGATTACCCTGTTTATTAAAAATTAAGTTGACTTGTCTATGAACAAAACCATGCACTATACTTTCCCGTAGTGCTTACAAACAGTCAATTGTTGGAATTTATGGAAGGGGCCCAGTGCACCAGTAACATTCGGGCTTAAAAATTGGATCTGCACTGATATTCTGAGCACACAAATTCATTGCACGTCGCATCCTTAAGTCAGTATGTTGCTTGCTGGGTTTTTTCTGTATGTCCCAATTGCCAACTTGCTTGACCCTGTAGAAAAGGTGAGGTAGAGGCTCTGTCCATAAAAGTGTCGATCATTTTTTGAGTAAATGCAATACAGGGGGCAGGGACCCATGTACTTTTCCTCAAGTGATCCTTGTGACTTCGAAGCCTTTTTTAATGCGAAAGCATTAACTGTCTCATGGAGCGAGCAGACGTCATCAGCTTTGGAACCATGCATAACGGCACCTTAATGAAACCACGCGCAAAGCTAGCCAACAGCACCTTTTACACTTCAGTCCCAATGGCTGGCGCGCGTCGGCGAGGCTCCCATTGGCCGCTGCGCGTCAGTTTGTGTGGTATCATTCTGACTGTGTTATCACACTGTGGTGTTATCGCTGATCACCGCATTCATTTGCCTCTTATCAGTTGTGCGGCGCGGGGCAATATATACGGCGCATGGAATAAACCAAGGGGTTCATTCTGCTGGGAACTACGTTGCTGTCTGTTCCTTCCTCGCGCCGCAAGGCACACGATAGTTTGAACAATCGCTCACCGGATGGCACTGCCTGTCTGCGAGACAGCAGCTCCACCGTTCCACGCCCAAGGTCAGTGCGTCGTACGCCGCAGATTAAAGAAGGGAGCGAAAAGCGGCGTCAGGGACGGCGCCAGGCTTTTCATAGTGAGGGGGCAGTGGGGAGGCGCACGGCATTTTTGGGGAGGCATGGGGCTTTCGATCCCACTAAAAGAACAAATATTCAGGGACGATGACTTGGCGCTTCGGGAGTTTTTAATAGAAATCAGCTCAGTTTATTTTATTATTTTACAACCTATCTACAACTCTGGTTAATGTAGCATTTCACGTGCAAAATATTCAGGCATGTTTACATTTCGCAATACTAAATAAGCACGCTCACGCTTGTCGTGACTCATCATCTGCTCTTTAGGCAATCCCCTGCACCGCGGAAAACCGGAGCACGTCAGCGGTCATGTAGATGTAGTGACGATTCTCCCTTCTTTGCTGAATGCGCCTGGCCGAGGTACACGGCGACTGATTTAGCCGCGCCAATTTTCTTCATCTGCTTGAAGGAAGCTAATGATGTTTGGGACATCTTGCGTGCGGCACTGTTGGAGTGGCGTCGTAGCTCGCCTTCCTTTTGAAGAGCTTTCTTCCAGTTTCGACAGCCCTCTGTCAAAATAAAAATACAGCACTTCCACTTTCTTACTCCCCCCCAAATACACAAACACTTTCAGCTTTCCTCCAGCCTCCTGGGATAGTCCTTCAAGGGACTCCATACCCCAGGTAACTAATGATAGGAGCATAACAGTTCTCGAACCGTCAGGCTCCGACCTGTACCCTTTTCCGAGCACACACAGTCGCCGTCACCAAAGTTGCTGCAAGGACCCCATAGAGACTTGAAATAAGCAGGATGACCTAGACACATCAAAGCCGCCCATTGGGAACTCGCCAGTAGGCCCGAGCGTCTCAAGACCTTGTGAGATTTCCTCGATCAGAACATGAACAGTGCCCTTGAGTTCCTTTGTCTGGCAGGTACGAAGCGACGGCGCAGAGGAGATGGGATTCCAAGTCTCTCCGAATAACCACTTGGGTGAAGCTACTTTCAGGAAGTCTTTTATGGTTGGCGACAGAGGAATTGAGTGGTAGACGACGCTCCTTAGCTTCGGCAAGCCATACCAATATTCATGCATCGTTCTTCATGGGGTACGTAAAGAAAATAAAGCGGACGGCACGAAAAAGTTGAAAACGTCCGGTATGAGGCCTTTTTAGGCTGGCTATCCTTCAAGCCAATGCCTTTTCGATGGGACGAGAAAATTAGAAAAATGATGAGCCATGTAGCGTATGCGGGTCTGCGCGCGAAAATTAGGGTGAGAGGGGGGGGGTGTAAAGGCTGGCATATTTTTGGGGGGGCAGGACAAATTTTAGGGGAGGCGCCAGCCACCCCTCGCCTCCCTTTGGCGCCGTCCCTGAGCGGCGTGCGTGCTTTTGCATTCACAAGTCATAAGGAGTGCTTAGGTGTACTTCGAGCCTTTTCTGAACACACTAGCTACTAAATGGCTTTCAAACTCGGAAAGTTTGTTAACCAGGCTACAGACACTTAGTACAAGGATAGCATTGCTTGATTTTTATAAAAATGCATCTAGGTATGAGCCAGCTTTCCCTAAAAAATGGGCTCTCAAACTGGGCTCTTGGAAACCCTAGGTTTCCTCAGAATACCCTCATGGATTTCTGAGCTCCCAAAGCTAATCATCAGCCGTATTGCCGCGATGTGGCGTCACCGTGGTATTGCGGTACGCGGTACAACCAATCAGCCGCAGCTCCACTGCGACGTGACGTCACAAGGGTACTGCGCCAATGTTCCTTGACTCAAAGCTATCCCGTTTGCCGCCCACTAAAGTGCAGCTGGTCGCAGCTTTAAAATTGGTTTTAGTGGAGTATGCGGCTTCACTTTGGTGTAATATTTCGGCTGGGATCATATTTTGTGCCACTAAAGCAAGACCAGTCATTTATTTTGATTATAAAAAATGCTATATTCACATCCACCCACATCTAGAGAGTATTCCCATAAAGTTTAATTTGTTTACACTACATAGTTATTTTTTTATAAATTATTTTTGGTCCACCCATGCTAAAGATAAGATAGAGGTTTGGGCACTTTGAACGCATTTGTCTCTATTCCACATTTTGCCATAACTTTGACTTTAGGAAAACTACCCTTTGTTAATGGAACAAAAGAAAGGCTCACTCATTGTTTTTCCTAACTGATATTTTATGGGCATTGCAGCTTTGGAATTTTTGTTTTTTTTTACTTTGAGGATGTCTTTTATAAAATATGTTAAGACATTGTTACACCATAAAAGGCAAAAAAAAGTATTTGATTTTTCAGCATGATATTAGCATAAGACAAATTATTTTTCTGGAATTTTGTTTTCACAGTTGCACTCTCCATGCAAGGTGCTGCATATCTAGTGTAGAAAAATGTTGGGTATTACATTAGTTTTCTAACAATAGTTTTTTTAAACAATGTCAACATGTTCCTGATAAAATTGATTAATTTATTTCTTAATTAATGTTCACAAATAAAACTTTATACTGTATTGTGCCTTGCAACTACCAGTATATACTGTAAATTTCATTCATATTAACACAAAGATTCAAAAGGGCAACTCCACTCAATTCCAAAAATTTTAGGCTTACGTGTGATTCCATTTCTCAAAGCACTTGTGCGAGATGATGAGTTCTCTGTGAGGCCTGATTTCGCTTGAAGGTGTAGAGAATTAGTGAGGGGTCGCACATTCATTGTGACCCCTCGCGGCACCTCCCGGGAAGCGGGTTCGACGCGTGCCTCGCAACAGTTACGCAGCGCGGATGCTTGGTGTGGTTTGACTCTTGGGTTTTGGGCATACCCCTGCAAACCTCACTCATGAGGGCCCTCACTAGGGTGTCTAGCGACCAGGAAAACCGGGAATTGTCAGGGAAATTTTAATTACCGGGAAAAATCAGGGATATTGTCACAAAGCGATCCCAGTCAGGGAAAATGAGCCGGAAACGCCATCGAGTGCCCTGAGCAACAAGTTGGGGACTTGAGGGCAGAAGAATATGCAAGAAATTCCACTTTGAGCGGAGCGCGGGCTCTGCTCACCCAACGCAGAGTGTGCTTCCTGATGCAAAGGGAACAGCCGACAAATCCAGTCCGAGCCTTGGATTGGTTGAGGTCACGACACTAGACTAGATCCAGTTAGAGCTACTAGATTTAGTAACAAATGGGAAAGCCGCAGACCCCAATTCAAGCCTTAAGCCGAAAGTATCCGAAAGTGTGCATCTGGCGGCCATGCTGCTATTCGCTTATTGATGTATGTGGTTGAGCGTCGTGTTTTCATTATGGGTGTCGCAAACGTTTGTAGAACCGGATTTTTAGGTTGAACGTTAGACTGAGTCGAAGCGGTTCGACGAACCTTCGAACTTTTAGCCAGATTCGCCCGGTTCAACTTTGTGGACAGTGTGGCCAGACCTTGATACAAGCATGTCTAGGTCTGAAGAATTTTTTTTTATGCAAGGGGTTATTTTAACTTTATGAACAGTTGCAATTAACAAACTAATTCTAATCACTGAAGAAGTTGATAGCTAAATTGTTTTGTACTGTATTTACTGAAATAACCGATCAGTGCTGCCTTTAATTCATCCGTTAGCCATCACTGTTTAATCCGAAGCCAACTGGACAGCCTGTCGCGCTTGCGCATAGCAGTCGAATCTGAGTTGAACTTTTCACAAGAAGTTAGAAAAAGTCGAACCTGGTCGAACTCGAACCTTGACCGGTTCGCGACACCCCTAGTTTTCATGCTGTTTCCAGAAGTGGCCTCTTCACTAACCATGTCAGCGGCAAGAAGGTGCTCGTTTAATCCAGACTGGACGAACCGGTCGAATGTGCAAGTTGGAATAAACCCATGTAAAATGATCCTCACAGTGCTCAATGCTCAATGCCTTGTGTTGTAATGGTCTTATATATTTAACCGCCTCCACAGTGGTCAGGGAATTTCACCTGGAATTGTCAGGGAAAACCTGGAAAAGTCAGGGATTTTCAAAATAATAATCTGCTAGACACCCTGCTCACTCACGCTCATCTTCACTGGTGAGGTGAGGTTCAGTGAGTTTCTGAACCCCAAAAATTCATGAGTGTGAGGGTGAGTGGGGATTGCGAGGACTGTGAGTG